ATGCTGAGACGGAGTTTAAGAAAGGAGAGGGAGGCCATCAATAGGAAGGAAGAAGTTCACGGGAAGGGCTGGATTTGGAAGGGAAGATGACAAACTCCCGTTAGCACCCAAAACAGTGACGGTTAGACCTGCATGGACCCGAGGAGCACGCTGGCTGAGACCTGCGCCCTGACTCAGGGACGTGACGTCGACAGGTCTGAGCGTGTTAGTGGGACGTCCAGCTCTGCCTGAGTACGAGGTGCGTGGACGTAGATCCAAGATACGGAGTCCTCCCAAGTGTGGTCCCCAAAGGAGAAACTGTTGAGGCAAGGACAAGAACATTTAGGGGGAGGAGGAGGAAGAGAAACAAACGGAAGGGACGCGAAAGGGGTTGCCCAGCCGCAGACCCGGACCGTGCGCTGTCCAAGGACCAAGGGAGCCTGGGATTGCGCGAGGGAAGGGATATCGGCTGGCCGGGTGCCTCTAAGACAGTGGTTCTCTGTGCCGCGCCAGCACGGCCAAGGGTGATCCTGAGTGGGGGTGATGAAAGGATTAAGGAAAGACAGACAAGAGAATGAAGGCTGGGTCTCGGTGGGACGCTGCTCCCTGATGAGGAGACAGCGCCGGCGCCCACAAGCCGTGTCTTTATTTTATAGCAGATGCCACGAGGCAAAGTGGGGGCGTGATCACGTTGTTTACAGCATTCTCGTGAGTTCCAACCCTACTCAACTACATGCACCTGAACTCTAGCACAAGGCACGTGGGGCCACATGTTCGGACCATGGGTTCAAGCTCCCAACTACAGCTGTTGGCTATGATTGTGCTGGGAGGGCCCTGCCCTCCAGCTGGGACTTGCACGTGGCCACGGAGGACTGTGCCCTCTCATGAGTCCGAGGCTTGAACCTGTCCAAACACTGTAGCCACGCCCCATAGTTCTCAACCTTCTGGCCCTTTAAATACAGTTCCTCATGTTGTGACCCAACCATAAAATTATTTTCGTTGCTACTTCATCACTGTCATGTTGCTACTGTTATGAATCGTCATGTAAATATCTGATATGCAGGATGGTCTTAGGCGACCCCTGTGAAAGGGTCGTTCGACCGCCAAAGGGGTCGCGACCCACGGGTGGAGAACCGCTGCTCTAAGAGGTCTTGGACTTGCTAGTGACCTTTCAGAGAGGGTTCTAGAAGGCATGATGGGAGCAGGGTCTGGCGTTTGTGTACTAGAACCCAGGCTTTCTGCTGCTGGAGGGCTAGACCTGTTCTCTCCCTTTGTCCTTGATGCGAAGGGTGAGATCAGGAGTCGGTCACCTGCCGAGTCCTCGTTCTGGACCAGGCATTGCCCGCTCTCTGAGTCCCCTGCCCACCCTCGCCCATCAGAATTGGAGAAGACGTGATGGTCAAAGAAAGGCCGGGAGGCAGGAAGCAGGCCAGACAGGCTGGCCTACTCATTCACCGAACAGGGCCGTGACTTGAGAAGAAGTTGACTTAGACGATTTTTTTTTTTTTTTGAAAGGTTAGGGGCCACTTGGCTATAGCTATCCAGCAGGGAAAGGCAGGGCGGTCTGCGCCGGCCAGCTGGTCCCGCCTGTGCGGGGCTGCGTCCCCGTCATATTCCCTCTTTGGGTGCCTTTCGCTTTCATTTTCTCTTCCTCTGCTGACCTGTCCTGACCCTGCCCACCTCCCAGCAGACATCAGAGGCTGCCGGTGAGGGAAGGGTGGGAAGCCCCTCGCCGGCTCTTCGGGGACTGGAGGCATGGGCTGCGCTCCGCCAGGCCCTGACTGTCCACTCTGCCCAGCCTTTCACCCACTTGGCTGAGAGGACATGGGCTCCAAGCCACGCAGGCTGGCCTCTTTGATTCTGATAAAGTGCAGTGATGTTAACGAATTCCTGGCAAGTTCCCCGGAAGCTGCAGTCCTTGGTACCACTGGAGGCCGTGGGGAGGGATTCTGTGCGGCAGGAGGCAGCCGGGCGAACCCCATCTCTCTCTGAGATCACCCCTTTTCCTCGGTGACTGGGGCCAGCTGGAGACTATGGGCTTTCCTCCACGGGAACAGTCTTATCGGTCCATCCAGGCAGTGAGAGCAATAAATAATAGAGTAGGAAGAGAGCAGCTGGGGCGAGGCAGTAGGGTCTGCTGTGGGCTCCAGCCTTCAGTTCTCTCATAGTTCAGGCCCCTTTCCTCTCTCTCCCGAGTGCTGCAGTGGCCCCTGAACTGATCCTGGTGTCCCCGGGGTCTCTGCCCTACGTCCTGCTGGAAGCCGGTCCATCCTTGCTGCTTGACACAGTCGCTGCAGGAAAGAAACATCTGCACAGCATATGTTTCAAGGGACCTGGCATGTATAGCATATTGTTCTTAATATGTTTGCTCCCCTTCTTGGCGCTATGTGTTTTAACCAAGGTCACCTCTCCGAGAAATGTTGTTTCCCCAGGTGGGGATTTTTCCCTGAGGTTAGGGAGGGGATACAACCCCTTAACTAAGTGCCAGGCGGGTAGTTAATCACTTTAACTACAAACAATCACGCTTAAGCTACATAATCTTTACTCCCTGGAATGGAGATAAGAAATGCCCTAACCTTTGCAATAGAAGTCCTCCGTCCCTACCAAAGCATGCAAGCCTTTTCCCAATTTGTACCCTGCTCACGTCTCTCAGAACCCCCATCCGAGCCATTCCTCGCTGTCTTTTCATTCATTCATTCATTCATTCATTCATTCATTCATTCATTCCTGTCTTCAGCCAATGTTTTCCAGGGCCTACTCTGGGTAGAACTGTGCTAGGATCTGCTGGGAACCGCTCACCCTGGCCGGTCCATACTTCTTGTCCACCCCAAACACCCTGGCTGCCTTTCAGGGCCCGGTGCCTTCTCACACACCCCGTTCTCAGCCTGCGAGCCCCCGCCATGAGCTATTCCCTGGGTCTCCCTTTCATTTTTAAAAATATATATTTTTATTGATTTCGGAGAGGAAGGAAGACGGAGAGATAGAAACATCAATGATGAGAGAGCCCACAACCCGGGCATGTGGCCTGACCGGGAATCGAACCGTGACCTCCTGGTTCACAGGTTGACGCTCATCCACGGAGCCACGCCGCTGGGCGCCCTGAGTCTCCCTTCCAGATCGTATATTTTCCTCTGAGCTCCACGACCTTTGGCTTTTTTTTTTCATTAAAGTTATGTGTTGTGCAAAACAAACAAACAAAAAGTTATGTGTTGTGCTAATCCTCCTCCTGAAAAAATCGCCATCTTGGTTCCTGTTTCAGTAAACCTTTAAGAGGCATAGAAGTCAGTGTCCCTAGCACTTGCTTCATCTTCTCATCTTGTGAGCGAGAGGCCTTGTTGTCTTCCTGCCTGGAGCTTGGGGCTGAAGGAAGGCCTCTCGGGGGGACACCAGCATGACATGGCGGTGCCGTAGAGGAGGCAGCCCCTGCGGGAACGGCCTGACAGGGTCCGAGTGGCCCCCGCTGCCCCGCCCCCACCCGTGGGCCGGAGTGAGCTTCCCTGCTAACCCTGCACCAGGGTGCAACCCGGCCAAGTCTGTGCATGGTTCCTGTCCACTGAGCAAGGGCCTGAGGAATGCCGGGCGTGTGAGTGATGTCTGGACCCGGCCCAGGGGGCCCCTCCTGTATTTGGCCACGGCATCTTTCCCAGGCCTGCCCCTCCGTGTTTGCACATAACAAGAGGGGCCTGGTCACCCCCAGGGCTGGAGTGAGGGGCTGACAGGAGAGTGGGCCACCTCCCAGGGACCTGGAAACCATCCCACTGAAATCTGAGGGCCCCTCATGAACTCCCGGTTCCCAAGGCCTTACACACACACACACCCCTCCCTCCGTTCACCCGACTTCCCCCTCGTCCTCGGCCAGCCTTCTGCGTCCTGGGCTCCTTGCCAGCCCTTTGGGGGGGTAGGGGGGGGCACTGAGCTAAGCAGCGCCATCCGGCTGGGGCCTGGGGCCTGGCCCTCCTTTCAACGCCCCCATCTTAACTTCCTGGCGCCTGGACCACAGCGCTACCCAGTGAGCCCTGTGTGGTCCCGTGAGCTTCCAAGTCCATCTCCCGACTGGGCTGTGAGCTTCCGCGTCCAGAGCAAGGAGCCTGCCCTGTTCATGGCCGCGTCCCGCTGCCCCGCGGCGCTCAGCACAGGGAGGCTGAGCACAGGTTCCGCGGTCCCTTTCTAAGACCGCAGGTCACGGGTTCAGGGTCCGGCACGAGTCCCCGGAGGCTGCAGGAAGGCGCCCGAGGAAAGCGCAGACGATTGGAGTCTCCATTCCAGCGCGCTGGGGAGGGGAGTCCTGGGCCAAGCCAGTCCCCGCCCGCCCCGCTCTCCCCCTCCCTATCTCGCTTCCCTCGCAGGACCGAGCCGGCTTTGTGCAGCATCAGGTGCAAACCG